TGGACTCCGGCGGGAACCCCTGATCCAACATGGGCTACCAACCAACAAACCAACCGAATTGTAATCAAGGTTAAGTTAACAGTGAGTTATTTATTAAGACGTCTGGCATATTTTTCAAACTATAATGTGTGCTAACTTCACGATAAAGAGCAAGCATTTCTTTCTGTAGACTAATCCAACCAATCAAGACTTTCCACTTAAACAGGATTTTATAAACGAGTCAATGTCAATTTCCATGTTTTATCAATTAATTTTTTACCACTTGAAAAAAAAGAATTTTTTACTTTGTGCATGGCTTTTAATGGCATCTAATTAAAAATAAACATGGGCGACTGGCATTGATAAACAATGAAAAATGAATATAAGAACAGTATCCTTTCCTCAGTGGAAGATAAGTACAGGAGAATAAACTGCTATGTAGGCTCAACGCAGAAAAGGTCATCTAAGCTGGCCAGGCATACTGAAAGGGATCGATTGAGGGTAATTTATTCCATGAATTGCACATAGCAATTTTACTGGTGGGAGCTACCAACAGTTTACTGTTATTGAATACGTTGATATTTTTGCTAACGCTTTCACTCCAGTCGTTAATTTTGCCATCCCAAACAAATTGTTTGACGTAGCTTGTTAATAGCTTACTAAGTTCGCTGACTTCTGAGAAGTCTGGGGGTTTGTGGAGCATGGAGGCAGAATGAAGATAATCTTGATGATAAAGGTAACTTCGTAGATAAATAAAAGCATCCCAACCGTGAAAGTCCGATGAAACAAAGCACTCCAGACCATAGGGATCAAAATGGGCGTGTCGACTGCGCAAATAATATCTATAAACTGTTTGGCCGTTTTGCAAAGTTTCGGTTAAAAATTCCAAAGGGCAAGTTAGTCGGATATCAGTAATTATTCTGGAGAGAACATCCTCAAGGTCAGAGAGTGGGATCATGTTTTCTGACGAAATATCGATGTTTTCTATCGTTGCCGTTTTATAAAAGGATTCAATTACTCTGTACGCAGGGGTTGAAGTTTTGAAAATGCTTCTAATATAGGAATCTAAAGCAGTTGCTTCCCAAAGTCGAACGCTGTTTGGAGTTATATACGTTGAAGCTTCGTGTGCTGTTTGTCCAAACACAAGCGGCATAGAATAGACAGGAAAACCCCAATTCTTGTCCAATATCAATTCACCATCAATAACCAAAAGGCCAGAGTCGCATGGAACGCCAGGTAAACAAGCCTTCGGTGAAGCTGATGGTAACCCGAACATGTTGTAACGGATCCATGGTTCAATGACGCTCCAGTTCCAAATACGAGCAATCTCTTCACTGCTCAACTTTGAAAAGCAATTGGGCACATTGGGGTTTGAGCAGTCGAATAACTTAGCTGAATCGACCACTGCCGAAGATAATGGTAAAGAAGGTGGGCCCACGGCAGGAGAAGAAATCCAGGCTTTATCAAATAAATGTTGAGCAGATGGGGCACCAAGAAGACCAAGAGTGATTGTGGATCCAGATCCATAAGAAAAAATTGTCACCTTGACGGGATCGCCCCCAAAAGCCTTAATGTTCAGTCGAATCCATCTTAGGGCCGCGATCTGGTCCCTCATTCCCAAATTCGAGGTTTTCGTCTCCGGATTCGTCAAAAATCCAAAGGGACCAACTCGGTAGTTCACAGTTACGTGGATGGCATCGACCTCCTTGATGGTCTGAAAGTCTGGTTGTTGACCAAATGCTGGAGATGCTGCAACCGCATTGTACATGAAAAATAGTCCACCAATGATAACCACAACAGGTTTGAGCTGTCCATTACCGGACGAACCCGGGACAAATATATTTAAGTACAAGCAGTCTTCGCTTCCAATTAAAGTATCTGAGATTGGTAAAAGTTGGGTGCACACATTCTGATAAGTAGAGGCATTAAAAGTCCTCAAATCGTTTTCAATGTCTGCTTTCCAAGCTTTCTTGCATAGCTCATCGGTTGTCAAGTCCAGTGGCTTTCTGAATCGAAGTGGGCCTACAGGTGGCACTGCATATGGTATACCGAGAAATTGAATTATTCCGTCTTTTTCTACACCACGAATATTGCCGCATCGCGTCTTCACCTCAGCAGAATTAGTAAATGATAGATATCCGTAACGTAAAAGAGCTAAGTAAAGGGCAAAAACGGTTACGCCTACTAAAGCAACAGATATAAATAACAAAATTGCAAGGAGGATGGGGACGTTTCGTTCAAAAACAGAAACTTTAAAATTAGAGAGCGAAAATGACTCTTCTGAAGTGAAGGACTGTTGGTGGAGGTCATCTTTTCTTTCGTCCAGACGTGGTGGTGGAGCACGAATAGAGGTCATTACATCTTAACAGACATAAACAACGTTTAAATAGGTGCTCCTTTTGAAGGTTGAAAAGTGAAGAAAGTACGTTCAAAGAAATTTATCAGTTTTTCATATTGGACAAAATAAAAAGCGCTTGGTCTGTGAAGTACCGTGTGATTTGCGAGCTTTTGTTGATGAATTTCAAAGTGAAATTCTGACTTCTTGTTCAGCTGTTGCACAATTATAAGCAACTGTAAGGATCACTCAAAATAACTGATTTGTGAATAGTACTGGCCCATTCTGCTAGAAGGCAGCTGCTCATGAAGACAGCATTCAAATAACGTAAATTTCAAATTTCTTCAACACATCATCAAAAATCGAACATTACTTAGGAATTTCGTGTCGCCCTAGAACCTCGTCTGTGGAACTGAGTTTTATTGAGGGCTGAAGCCTCTGAGTCAAACGTGAATAAGGCTATTATATATGGTTCAGATTCCTGGAGGGGATCGTTGAAATCTTTGAAAGCTGATTTCAAAAATTTATGCTTGCTGATTGTTTAGTTATTCAAATTTAATGTCTGGCAGAACTCTATTGTAAATGTGTGCATGTTTTTCATCCATACATTAAAAATTACTGCAAAAGGAAATGCAGAATACCAAATTACTCTACAGCTACCCCCAAAGAAGTACACGGAACAAGCATAGAACTCTTTTAATTATAGGTGCTGTGGGTATCTTAATTGCTAAAAATAAGGATGTGGCCGAGTAATTGTCGTCGATTTTTAATCTGTCTACAAAGAAAAAGCCAAGTGGAAGTACTCAGTCTAAACTGCTGCCGTTCCCTTGACTACTAACAATCATCAGACTTCCCACACCTATTTCTACTCTACTACTATGTCTTATCTTCCTAAGCAGTTTTTTTCTCTTACACACTTTTTGAAAATGGAGGCCCGTTGAACTCTGCCTCCATTCTCACTGTAAGAGTTTTTTAACTGCCTACCATTTTAAGATTTTAAGTTCACAATTAACTGCAAAACATTGCTAAATTTTGCCCCAAAAGGACAATTTCTGCTGAGATTATTACGACTTTCTATGTCTATTTGCACACATTGTCAAATTCTTTTTTGAATTTTTTTATTTTTGCGAAACTAACTTTGTATGGACAGTGTCGTACTGGCGCTAACAAATATAACTTCCAAATTCCAAAATTAGCACGATCCCTTCATTCCTCCGCAGAGGACCTTCAGACTTCACGTATAAGCACTATCCTGTTTTCGTAAGTTCCTTTCCGAAAGAAATTACAGAAATTTGAGGAGCTTGAATCTCCAAGACCGAACGAGATCTATGCCGAGATTCACAATGAACTCGCAAGTGAACTGTTTGTGCACCTTCTTGTGCTTTTTCAGATCTCATGGCCCTCTACAGTTTGGCCTCTTCAGCAAACACTATGGCGCTGCAACCCAGGTTGTCGACGCAGTCGTTGACATTAATTGGAAAGAGCAAAGGCCCTAAGACGGAGCCTTGGGGAACACTATATAGAATATGGGTATGGTTTGACGTCAAGTCACCGATGCGCACATTTTGCGATCGCCCTGTTAGAAAATCTTATTTCAAGTTCCGATAACTTATACATTAGAGGTTTCATTTGGATGTTGCCAAAGGCGTTCTTTACATCAGTAAAGATGACGTCAACCTAACCATTTTCATCCAGTGCGCGAGTCCATTGCTCGGTCAAGAACAATATGCTGGAAAGACAAGAGTACTTCTGGCTGAAGTTATGTTGGGGCAACGAGAGTAAGTTGTTCTCCTCCAGGAACTTCATTGTTGCCTTCGTTATTATCGTTTCCATCACCTTACAGCAAATGCATATTAAGCTAGGGAAACTGTTTTCAATCGTAACACCATCCGACTAGCTATACAATCAACCTTGAGGAAGGTTACATTGGAGGATCTCATCGCGGACAAGGGGTCGAAACGAAAAAAGGATAGAAGTGGTCACAGGATCAACATCAAAACGCGACCTTGCGGACTGCAGAGACCACCGAACAGCCCGTGAAAATAGAAGAATCCGCAAAGATCACCAACAGAGACCGCCCTTATGAATTCTTTGGTGGACATTTTGGCAACGATAAATGAGATGCCAGGTTCAACATAAAACAGTGGGGAAGGAGAAGAACACCAGAAATTCTTTTACAAGACTGGCCGTAATAACTTATGTTGTGAGGGGCATCTATTGTCCAATATAATGCTATAAAGCAATCGTCTAAAGTCAGAAATGTTGACGGTAGCCGTCTGACTTATTAGCAAGTTCAAATGCCATACTACTCGTTGGCCGAAGAAACTTGTTTTGAGTTTAAGTTGAGTGCGCTCGCTTATATTCTTGTAAAGGTGACCGCGAAGGTAAATTGTGCTCGCAAACTCATAGAAATCCTTATATCTCAGAGAGAAGCCATGACCTCTTATTATCCCAAATTATTAGAGCAGGCTACACTGTAAGTGCGTGTAACAGGGGAAGATAAGTCAAAAATTTTCAATCTATCCTCGTACGGTAAGTTTTTAAGACCGTCGACCATATATTTCTCCCTCTGTCGCACATGTTCAGGAGCTCAACACCTTTCTTCCTCCACATTGTCCAAACTGACATTCCCTAATCTGAATGTGGTCACACTATGATACCGAAGATTTTTCCTTAGTGATCAGAAGAGAATATTTTAAACGCACTTCTGATCCAATGCAACATAAAAGTTGTGCCATTGTGAGATTTATCCCAATAACCTGCGTCACCAGTTGCTACCGCCCAACCGGAAGTTAGAAAAGTAGAACAGGTTCCCTCTGGAAATAACTTACTTTCAATTTGTGATCACACTGTCTTTTGTCATACCCCGACATTGCCTTATTTATTGTGGCCCGCACCCTTCTGGAAGATTCGGCCCTATCGCGTGCCAAAGCGTGGAGGACGTTGGCGAACCTTTTGGTTTATGGCGTGGCAGTCGTTAATTTGACGTTTTGTCCGTATGACTCCTTCACAGAAGCATATTATATGTTCGCTCCGTCTCATATGTTAGAAAAATAATCACGCGCGTTTGATACTGAAGCAAAAACCAATAAGCTCCGCGCCCGGTCTGGTTTTCTGCACGGCACATAGTTGCGTTGCCATTTTATCGTAGTTTATGACCCTGCACAATATCGCTTTTCCAAAACCCAAAGGGTTTGGAAATATTTCAAATCTATGGCAAGCTTATATTTGCATGTTGAACTGCACTCAATTTAGTGCAGTTTCCGGTCCCTATAGTCCATATTAACGGGTTCTGTTACATTGTCCCAGCAGCCTTTGGCAGCAAATTTAGAATGCTTGAATGTTCTGTGATGCAAGTTGCAGCCAATTACATTTGAAATCTACGGTTCCTTTCTACGTTATCTCTTTTAAAATTTACCTGTCTCATATTCTTAGAAAGGCAGGAGTGCCTCGGAGTAGCAACCCAGACAGAACCAGGTGTGTTTGTTGGGCTAACCCCCACGCTTTTTGATCTTTCAGGATTCAGCGTGCTGTTGACGCCATCTTCGACACCGATTAGTCTACCCTATTCGGCCCTCTACTCTTCATTTTTGAGTTGTAATTCATCATACTTTGTCTATCTGTATATGTATATTTAAGGGTTACAGGCAAGAAATGCCCTTGAGGACCCTAGTAAAAGCAAACAATGTTATTCTTACAGTTAATGTGCAGTTGGTGGAGGACATAT